ATATATATATATATATATGTGTGTATGTGTGTGTTTAAAACTGCGCTCAAATTGGTAAGTTTACATAGTACACATGCCACCAAAGTGCTGGATGTTTCTAGAAGAATTCTGTCCATGACTTGTGATAAAAATAGCTGTTTCACACACAGATGGTGACTCTCCCACAGAGTCATGCATGCAAGGCTGATGGTGGAAAATGATGGGAAACGACTCATCAGCAGAGACTCATCAGTAAACATAAGTGTTCCATTTGTTCTAAACAGGAAATGACACACACACACACGCACACACACGCGCGCGCGCGCGCACACACACACACACACACACACACACACACACACACACACATATATAAGACAATTCAAATTCCACTCTGGAGGACGATATTGTGGGATTTATGGGTCTTGGTTTGGTAGAGAAGAAATTCTGAAATAAAACCCCAAATGTCTTTCAGTGCAAGTGTCGGAGTAGGAAGGCCCTGATCAGACAGGTGTGTTAGAGAGGATGTGGGAATATTTGCCACAGTTTAACTTGAACCCCCACCTCATGAACAGAATACCAGGATAAAAATGTTTAATCAATAATTTACTTTGTTTAATGTTATATTCATAACATGCTATCACAAACAGTTGCTCATCCAAAAAAAAAAAAAAAAAAAAAAAATCTATAAATGCAGTCATTAGTGATCTTAATCAATGTTAGCAATATTAAAGATTAGATGTCAATATTAGGGTTATTGGATTGGATCTCAGGTAATATGAATCTATGAGTAAATTAAGTGAAATGCCCTGAACGAGTAAACAGGTCAATGGTTCCAGTTACTGAATGCTAAGTGCATTACCAAAGCAAACATTTAAACCTTCTCTACATGCTAAAGCTGTGTGCATGGAGCTGTAGGCTAGTAAGAACCAGTTTGGTGTTTAGAGAATGGTGTTTTATCTATGTCCCTTTCCAAAGTCAAAATAATACAAGAGCAAAATTGTAAAGAATGAGTTTAACAATGGGTTTGCCTGCTCTAACGTAAGATGCAAATGTTAGCATCCCTGGCTAACTAGCATCAGCAGTAACTTAGCATTACCTCCAAAGTCAAAGCACATATTATTTGGTGATATTGTTGTGTGGGATTTTGGGTTACATTAGTCACATGTTGAGGACCAGAACATCCGCTGTGTGGGAGCCAAGATGCTACTATATTAGAGTTTAAACAAGTTAGAAGCTCAGTCTCAAACTATATTAGGATTGGGGAAGTTTACACTTCAATGGATTTAGGTACGTTTGCCAACACACTGCTTTGTCTCGGGCCTTACTACTTAAATTGAAGCATAGTGCTTGAAAATAAAAAAAACAGAGAAGGCAGCTTAACAAACGGTCAACTCTCATGGTAATTAAAGTGACATCAAACAAAGATGAGGTTATTTTGCATGAGGTTTTACTGGTTTTGGCAAGGATTCATTTTCACATACGGATCCTTCCCTGTTCTTTCCAGAACTCGGCAATCCTTTGAGACAGTGCGAACTCTGCCAGGCCCCTGCACTCATGGGGGGTGAACCCCACCAGCGCGGTGCCCATCACGCCAACCCCCTCTCTCCCCGCCAGCTCCGCAACCCTTGCCGTGATGAGGGAAGCTGGAACATGGCAGTAAGACTGGCCGCCGATGCTGAAACACGGCCACGGTTCACCTGCAGTCGTTTGACTAGTCGGGCTCCCTTTCACGCTTTCCACATTACAGGCGATTTCCACAGCGCCCTCATGTGGCAAGGCCAGCACCTGCACCCCAGGCAGCCCCCCCGGGGTCGACTCCCTGAGGGCCGCGGCAATGCGGCGTCCCATGGCCATGTCCTGGGTGTCGATAGTGACGTTGCAGTTCATGACGTACGGACCGGCTCCAACACCTGCAGGACATCAGCCAAAATCAGAACACAGAAAATTTAACCCGTCTCATTTACTCTTCTTCAGTAAGCGCAGTCCTGCATTTTACTTTCAGCAGACAGCTTTTGCTATTGCAGAAAACAACCGCAGAGGAATCAGCGATTGTATAAGGAAGGGATGAAGACCTTCTCTGGTGAAGGAGTTTCGACCTTGCCTCAAAATGCAAACGTGTTGTTCCTCAATTGCATTATAGTCTACTGAGGCTAGTGTCGGTGGTGAAATATGGATATTCTGCCACTCACGCAATTGATTTCTCCCTGTAAAACTGTTGAAAAACAATTCAAAATAGCAGATCTAGAAAGACGCTCTTGCTCTGAGTGTTAGGATCCCTGTCTGCTCTTCTGTTTTTTCCGTTTTCCTGTCTGTTTTGTTATTGTGGGCCATGTGCTTATGCTTTGTTTTTGTGTCAGCCTACAGTTTCCACCCCCGTGTTCCACCCTCTACCACACCCCTATCCTCAGGCTCAGCTGTGGGGAATTCCAGCTGATCATCCCCAGCTGGCTTAAATACCTCGGCGTTTCCCCGGCGCGGCGTCAGTCCCTCCGGTTACCAGTCTGGTCACGTAAGTCTGAACACCGATTCAATGAAGATCGTTACCCGTTTGTTTTCTGTTCCTTCAGTTTTGAGTGCGGTCGAGTTTCCCCTCCCGACTCCGGAGGCTACCTGTTCCGGCCTCGGTTGAGCTTCCCTCCCGACTCCGGTGGAGATTATAGGAGTGACTTTAATTTGCTGGACAGTTAGTCTTTGTTTTTTGTTTGTTCTTTCTGTGACTCCTCCTGCACAGTTAAATAAAGTCTTGGCTGGAGTAAACCTGCTGTGTGCGTGCGTTTGGGTCCACTAACTACACTACCACATAACACTGAGGGACTGACACAGTTTGTCTTGAGATAAACAAAAGAGACTGTCGATCAAACACCTTTGATGTTGCACCAGAAACATCTGGAGATGACACGACATTGGCAATGATTGCCAAGTTTTTATGTAAGAATAAGTAAACGGCAGTGGATAACAGAATGGACAACGATAACAGAAGGTAGGTCACACCAACAGCTGTTTTTAAAGTATAAGTCCGTCTTTCAATACTCTCATCACATGCCATATTGTCTATTGAAACAGTGTTCGTTCCGTGTAATCACTCCTCGTGTCCATAATGGCCATGAAGTGATGACTCTCTAGTGTGCTAGCGTGACTACACCATAAGAGATTGGAGGACAAAATCAGCAGTCCTCGCTATGTGCAAAAATTCATCCTAAAGTTCAGCTGGAGCTAATGCTAATGTCAGCAGATACCCTTTTAATTTGGCTAACTCAGACTTCTGGAGCCTCATATTAGCTTCGGCTGAACTTTAGAACACATTTGTTACCCAGACATATACCCATGGTTCTCACCTGTTAGGCCAAAGGGTTTCTGTGGCTGCGGCCCCATGTCGGGCCTGATTGCCTGCAAGTCTGGCGTCTTCTTGAACCAGCCCATCTCCTTCCTCCTCTGTGCCAGCCCCCGCTGCAGGGGGGAGTCTGCCCAGCCGAACAGGAAAGCACTGGTGCCCTGGACCCGCTCCGTGAGTCCCTGAGCAACAGCTGAGCCCCGGCAAGAACGCAGACGTGTTAGTTAACCAGCAAATGGAGCGCATGTCATCACATGCACGCAACTTCAGGAGCACGAGAGCAATGAGAACGTGACAGACAAAACACACCTGAGGGGATTTAATTCAGACGGAGGGAAATACACGGACACATGGACTGCTCATTACGCGCATGCGTAAATACAGTGCTTGTTAGTGAGTTTGCCAATTATTATTCTGAAATCACACTGCACAGATTAGCATACATCAGGCATGCTGGCACACATGCTGGGCTGCTGCTTATTATCAGCAAGACACATGGTTGCTAAGTCAGCTGGCAAACGGTGAAACTAATCAACAGCACAGGAAGCTAAAGATGTCACCTCATCAGCCACTAAACACATTGCTCTAGAACTCATTACAAATACTGTACGTCAGGGCCGATGAATAAGGCAGATACTTTGTAAATGACTAAAGAATAGCCCAAAACAGGGTTGAGCGAAAAATTACAGCTGCCCACTGCAAAGGGGAAATTGCAACTTCAAGTCACATCTATTGCATGTGTCATCCCTGTGTGCACACACTGGATGTTTACTCTATGTTTACTCTATTTGAGCCATAGAGTCAAAACCTGTTCATCTCAGTCCTAAGCAGGTGGGTGCTGCAGAGTACACAACTGCCTTCAAATGGAACTCGTGAGCTCATGGTTACAACACGGGATGTCGTGCACACAGTAGCCTTGGTGTTCAAGGGGTTAAGTCGTGAGAATGGTCTCATTCACATGAACGTAGGTATTAAAATAACTCCGGATATAAGTGCATTTTAAAACTGTCAGGACCTAATGATTTAAATGAGGGCTATTCAAGTGTTCATACGCTGATTTAGCTCAAAATGATCCGCTGATTTACAGACATCTATTTTCCAATGTAGGTCCATGGGAAAAACTATTTTTGGGATAACGTGACAATCTGGCATCCACAAGCCACCAAGGATAACAATTTAGTAAGCTAGCTAGCGGATACCATTTTGCAGGAAATTAAAGGCATAATGTAAGAGGAAAAAGATGAGTCTGTTGGGAATGTCAACATTTTTCTCAGACATTTAAAATTACAGAGAAAAACTATAGGACTAAAATAACAATATATTAAACATGCAAGATCCGAGATTGGGAGAATTTAGATTGCCTCTCAACGGTTCTCAACATGGTGTCGGCGAGCCGGCGGCTCACTGCTAAGGGTGCTAATAATGCTAACAGTGCAAACTATGGCGAAAGTGCTGACAGAGCTAACAGTGTCTACCTGAGGGGGAAAGAGAGTGCAGAGAGGCTGCCATGAGCTAACCAGGGGAGCACGCTCATGTGCACTAAAAGCACGTCTAGATCAGTAAAGCAAGGAGAGGCTCGGATGACATCACACAAAGAGGGAGAGTGAGTTCACTCTCTGCTCGGGTATTACTCCACTATATTTTTTACATAGCAAGTAGTTGTTTGTTGCTACTAATGCTCTGTATGTTAAATACAGCTCCTTTAAGAATGAACCACCGAAAAATGAACCTCCATGGCCTCCGCCTTTTCTGAAAAGATCAGCCAACGCGTCACAACTCGTGAACTCCGAGCTTTCAAGAAAATTTCCACTAAGGAGGTTGTGGCTAATACAAGAGGGAGGCGTTCATATGAACTCCTCTTTCTCGTGAACACTGTAAACATGACCTCATTTGAAGGCAACAAATGACGGTGCCCTGAAAGCTAATGAACAGATACAACATAGGACAACAACTGTAAGCTCAACTGACAGGGACGTGTATCTACGTGCACTCACACACACACACATGCATGTAGAAATGGCACCTCACCCCGAGCCTCTTTAGCACAGTCCTCCACTCCCACCTCCTCCCCCAGGGGGTAGAAGGGTATGAGGTCGACGGCACCCATACATGGGTGGACCCCCTTGTGGGCGCCCATGTCGATCAGCCCGCAGGCTTTCTCGCATGCAGACAGAACCGCCTCCCCTTGAGTGCAACACAAATGACATAACAATACATCAAACATACTGCCAAAGCCAAGTCCTGATGTGATGGTTAGGAAATGTAACTAGTTTTTCTATTTATTTATATTTATTTAAAGTTGTTTGTTAGCTTCAGCAGAAATTCTGATCCAAGACTGAAAAAAACTGAATTCAATATGATGAAAAATAGAAGATGTGGTTAAATTAAGCTGTTTCAGTCTTTAGGAGTGGGTGGAGGACAAACAACTGTAAACCTCGACAACTCTGGCTGCATTGCCAGACGGTCGTGTTGCGGATAAGCATGCAATGAGATAAACTTTTCACTGTGATCTTTGCCAGAAAAAATGTTCATCCTGATTTTTTTTGTGTGTTTAAATCCCTAACAAAGTTTATTAAAGGATTCCCCCCCCCTCTCAGAGGATTGGAGAGCAGACTGAATCCCAGCTGTAGTACTGCTGCAGAAAGTAGCTGACTCTATTCTTTCATCTGTAGCAGGAGAAAGAACGTAAAACCGTGACATTGCGCCACACATGTAAAGGCTCAATACTTACCGATAGAGTCGATACTGGCCACAATGGTGATGACGGAGCGGTTGTAGTCACGGTCGTTAAAGATGTTCAGCACCGTGGTCCCCTCTCGTCTAACACCTGATGTATAATTGTAGAATAATCACCCAGGTTTAAATGATGTTTTAGGTGAGGCGCCTGAGTCTTCTCAGGTCACTATGAAGCTTTGGAGCGACATATCAAAACCAGAAACCATGTCTAACAGCATCATGGAGGACAGGGAAGTGAATGTGGGAAAATAAAGTATTGTGAGTAAGTCAATTTAATAAGGTTAAAATTAGGAATAGTCAGGAGGAATAGCCTCCGGACTGATGTTAGCTGTCTTTAGCATCCTTAGGGGTTGTAACGTAGCCTGTGAATAAAGGTTGAGTTATTCTTTCTCTGCAAGACAGAGACCAAATGAATGCTTTTAGTAATAATTATCCCCAGACTCATTAATTACAAGTGATAAAACATTAAATGTCACTTGCCTTTATTGTTGTATAAGGCTGCCCTGGCCACAGTCTCCACCAGGTCTTTCCTGCGAGCCTCGGAAACATTGAGAAGACAAGCCACCAGTCTTCTACCAAAGGAACTCGAGGCCATGTTTCTACCGTAGCTGCTGCTGCTGAAAGTACAGAATGTAAACATGAAGTTCACTGACCAGACTAAAGACGAACCAAAAGCTGAAGAGCAGCCAGTCATAAAACAATATTCCACTCCTGCCCAAATGTACCTTGACAGCAACGAAGCCAAGATAATGACTTTCTTCACCATGCATGACAACACATGTTGAAGTATGCCACTTTCTAAATGAAAAGTTGAATTCATAAGCAACACATTAAGAAGGTTTGCTTCTACAGGTTTATTTGCTCTGCTAGAAGCTTACGGTAGCTACTTGCTACTGTTTGAAAACTTCAGATAGATATGTCTGTGTATCTAAAATCACTTTGCTGACTCCTCTCTACCTGTGATATTGTTATAATCTTAGCATTTACCATTATTTATAATTGTCACTTGTGGCCATCGTGGCTGCTGCTGAACTAGTTACATAGATTGTATGCACACTTCCAAGTACAAACATTTTTTCCACATCTTTTGTTTTCTACTCTCCTTTAAATGTGTCACTTATAAGCATTTATATTAACAGTGTTGTTTTGTCTCTGTGAGTTGTTTTGGCAAGTGGGTGAGATCTTTAATAAATGCATGACTCTTAAACTGCTGAATGTCAACTGTTCACTCCAAATAATAATAAAAATGTCTTTAATGATGATGCCATCTACAGACTGTTTGTGGAGCTGCCCTTTACTACGGGAACAACAAAGTAACAAAATACTTGTAAATAAACTAAAGGGCATGACTCCAGGATATACAAGAGTACAATCTGTGTAATGTGTTTTAGTCTAGACTGAAGCTACAGTTTAATAGTTTAACTTAAGTAGTCCTGTGGGTAGTATTAAACTGACAGTGTCTCTCCATATCAGTGACGACTGTATACAGTTACAGAAAGTGTTCAAAGTCCATGATGGAGTAATAAGCAACTCACTGACCTGCAATTCAAAAACATGAAATTGCACCTAAAAACCGGGCCATAAAGAATAGCATACTTGCGTTACATTAAATGATCTTTCAGCATTGACATGTGAAGTGCATTCTTTGGTGCTGATCAACGGGGGGAAAGCGCATTTACGTAAACACCAACCTCCATGCACAGTCCACGCAAATACACACAGATAGACTTTAGCACTTGTGGCTAAAGATGAGAGAATAAGTACAAAATGGTTCGCTCCTGTTTACAACCTACTGGAAACCGGTCTTTTCTGTTGGACGCAAAATTTTGCTTCGAGCCTGTAACGTATTTTGCACAATTGTGTAAATTATTCATCTTTTGCGTGCTTAGTTGTTTTATTATTTGTACTGTTTTTGTGACTTATTATTGTCTACGTATGTATGTACTTTGTATATCAGGAAGAATAACCCAAACCAGACAGGGCTGAGTTTAAGAATGTTGTACCTTAACATGCAAAGCTTAAATAAACTTTGCATATTAAGGGGCGGGTGTTGCAATGGCTATAAACAGCTACATGCATTACAGAGCAGTATTTTAGTTTGTCTATGTCCCTTCCAAATGAAGAATGAATAAATAAATGATACATAGATCCAACCCACACAACATAAAAAATGGTTACTGAATTGAATAAATTAGTCATGTTTGCTTAATCTAAAATGTACAACATTTATGCATCTATTTTCTGCATTTGTTTTATCTGTATAATGCCTGTAATATTTATGTTTACATTTTTCTCATATATAATCAAGAATTTTGTCTTTTCTAAATCTGTTTAATTTAATTTCGTTATCCTAAGCACTTGACAAACTAAACGGTCTGGTGTGGTTAACTGACGAAAGCGGAAGTACAAAGGAGTTCTTCTCTCACGTCTCTCCGGAATCAAAAACAAAAACATGCGCGAAAGTGCTAATGGCTTGCTGTTGTGTAGCAGAGCTGTAAATAGTAGTATCGGGGTCAATCTATTAATCTATATCGGTCGCGGGAAGCCTCGGACCGAGCTTTTGCTTAGTTAATTACAATATCTGGATGACATAATCAATATATTGCAGTAACCTATTCCAAATAGGTGGGCTTCCATCAGAACCCGCGAACAATCTATAACCTCTTTGTGCACTTCGCTGTTTCCCCCGAAACACTTCCGGTGATCACCGGATGTTGCTGAAGTAGCATTGAAACGCCTGTGAAGTGAATTGGGACCGGCAAAATGTGTCTCTACAGTGTTTACAAGGTGCTGTTGGAAACCTTGGTTTGGAAATAGTTGTATACACACTCCTTATATTCTCTGTTGATATCGAGAGAAGCCCCGGCCTCGGGTAAGCTTTATCTCTGCTACGTTTAGCTAGCATCATAGACAATGTAGCGTAGCACTAGCAAGCTAGCCCAGTCGACTAATGCTACCGCAATCAGATTAAAGTCTTCAGTTTCTGTCGTGTTCATTATTTCAAAACTCTTAACAGGTGGTCGTTGCGGGGGGTGCATAACAATTCCCATAATTATCATAGGGGTGCCCTGTTTTGAACGGGTAACGTTAGCGTTACAGCTGCTCTATGTGCAAGTATCTTTTAGTAGTATGGGGTTAATCAACTGTGCAGGGTTAAAAGGAAAAGAAAAGCAAACAAATTAATAAATAAAAGCCATCTGAGAAACAATGGTGTTGCCATATTTTGAAAATGTAAAACGAATACCCACGCAGTGTTTATTTTTTATGTTTTCTAATTGACTAAAACAAAGAACATCTCTAGTTCAGGCCTCATCGGATTGTTTGGAATTTAATAGATATCTTTCAGGTTACTATCCAGTTTTTTTACCCTCAGGTTTTCATCTCCTAAAGAGTGCATCATCTTTTTTTGGATTTGTTAAGCAAACGAGACCATCTGCGAGATATTGTCTATTTCTATATAGTAATCTTTAACGCTCGTCATTGGAGCCACCAGGTTGGACTGGGTCTTACAGTCTCAACATGTCACATGTGTAGTTGACATTACTTGATTATGCCACCTAGTTTGAATAGGACCATTTTACTTAGCAAAAAGCAACAGCTTGGTTATTGCTTAGAGAATGGATGTCATTTTATTTTATGTGTTACAATTCTGGACGTTCCTGACCACCTTGCCATTTTGACAGAGACAGACCGTTTATATTGTTTTGTTTGTTTTTCTTGCAGTGTTCTTACCAAATTGTGGACCATCATGGAGCGAAGAAGAGCCTTAACTATTCCATTTAATGTCGACAAGGATAACCGGGTATGTGTGACCCATGTTTTCACGACATGCATGTCAGCTTGCAACCTTTTTGTACTGAAGTGACGCTTGCTTTATGGCTGCCCTCATATTGTGCTGTTCTTGTGTTGATCCCAAGCTGGTGGTGATCTGGGATGGATTAATGGCTCTACTCTCACACAGACCTGCTCATGTGATTGCTATATTGCTAAATTCAGTTGATCAGTGAACCCACTTCCCTGCTGTTAAAAGAAATGTATCTCAGTAAGTGTTAGACATTTTTTTGCTGATAATCGTTAAGCATAGTCAAAGCTGCTACTACGCTACAGCTACCATAATTAGCTGCTACCAGTGCTGCAACAAAATATTATTTTCATTATGGACTTTTGCAGTTTCTCAGTTCACCATGCGGCCTATAAAATGTCAGAAAATGTAACACAGGTCCAAATTCTGTTCTTTAAATTGCTTGTTTTGTGTGACCACGGAAAAAGGATCCATTACCCAAGACAGATAATGATCAAATCCTTACAAGTGAGCATAAACCAACCTCCCGGTTAAAATGCAGCACAGACTTGTCATTACAGCAGCAGATTTGCTCCGTCCCACACTCGAACATTTTTTTTCTAAAAAAGAAATGTGTCGTGTTGAGTCCACAAGTGCTGTTTATAGGCCTTGTTTTTGACTTTACACACATGCTTCAGTCTGCGCTTAGCTTCTCCTCTCGTCATCCCTCTGTGTGTGTGCGAGTGTAGACGTACCTCAGAGTCACGTTCAGAGGCTTCAGCTCTGCCCCCCCCCCCCGTGGGTTACGCTCCGACATAAGCAACTCCGACGAGGCTTAGCTCGTCTCCATGACAAAAAAACAAAACAACTATACAAATACCAAAATCTACCCAACGAACAAATAACAGTCAAATATTTTGGTCCAGCCTTAGTCACGATCTTCGCTTATTTGCACTTGCTGTATTTTGCACACATACTTTTGGGCTGTTGCTTGGTAACTAACCACACTGTGAATTTTAGGTGGAAAACCCGCTCAAAATCTCCATGCCATGTCTTTCATCACAGTGTGGAAAGTTAGAAAGACAGGTACAGCGATACTGTTGTTGTGACCACATGAACAAATGTCACGGTGATAGTATGGTTATTCTGGACTATATCTGAGACTCTCTCCTTCCCTTCATCAGGTTTCCTGGACTGCATTTGCAGGTTGCAAACGCAGACATCGTAGTTCACAGCGTATGAATGGATCCATGCAGTTTGATCACAACTTTGCAAAATTTGAAATGGCCAGGTAAGCAGACTAGTTGGTTTAGACGGAAGGACTTTTTCAGGGTGTTGATTGCAGCGTAGAATTCCTAGTTGTTGTTCTGCCTATGAGTTAAACAGACCCATTGTGTTGTCTGTACTAAACTAGGCTCACTTCCTGCTTCGCTACAGTGCAGAAGCTCTTCTCGGATTCGCCGATATGTAAAATGATATCTAAAACTGCAACACGTTCAGACAGATTTCCTATAACAACTAAATCACCGGGAGGATCATTTCTGACAACTTTGAGTTGAGATAATCTACTTTCAACTGCCGTCTGCTCCCCACAACGTCAACGTCACCCAAACAGTAACTCGGTGGACTACTGACAGCATCGTACCCTGGACTACGCTATACCTCTCTGCTCATCAGAATCATGATTGTCATGATTTATTGAAGAAGATAATTGTATTTTAGACAAAATAATTATTACCACTGCAATAAATATTCTGCTCCTCGTGCGCAAATGTGTTTTTTACGAGCACATGTTGTGACAAGTGCACGGTCCACCCTCCCTATGCGCCTACCCACAAGGATGGAAAAGAAGGCTGACGTTCCTGCTCCACTATGATTATGAATGCGACTATGTGGAAGTTTAACTCGCACACTCACAAAAAAATGATTGCTTATGTGATAATATTGGTTGCAGTCCTGAAGCCCTGCATGCAATGTGCCAACCTGCTCACCAGGAGCAGTCGGGGGTTCAGCTGTCTTGCTCAAGGACACTTCGACACTCTCTATTATTGACACAGAAGTAGAGATGACTACTGCTAATTCTGGACATGCGAGTGTTCACGAAGAGTCCAGCGCCCCAAACGGGCACAATCCGTAACGCCAACCTCGTTGATTCCAAAGACGATGGAGAGAACAGCGCTCTCCTTCGGGGCTCACCAGACTGATAAGAAGCTGCAAATGGTTTTCATGGATGCCACTAAGCTGACCGGCATGACCTGAAATCGCCGCCGTTCAACACCGAGCATCTCTGCCTGGTGTTCAGTAGGTTGTATGAAATGCAACAACGGTCCACGGCTGGAATCAAACCAGCTGCACTGCAATACTGTGTTATGTGCTTATTCAGCTTATTCAGCTGCTGCAGCGCTCCATGTGTCTCTGTCTCATGTGAAGCACTTTGAATCGCCTCGTTGTTGAAAGCGGTGCAAAATAAATAAACGTTGTGCTCTGTAGAGTTGATTGCAGTTTCTTAAACTTTCACAAGATGGGGCTCTCACTCTAAAATTCTAATATTTTTATTGAAATGATTTACAGCAGTGTTAGTTTTTTTTCATAAGCAATATTAAAATTCTAACTTTAATTTCTTAACCCTTTGAACATCTAAAGCAGTATTGTAGGCTGCACCTTTGGAGTTCAATGTATTTATGAGATATATATATTCAAATTGTCTTTTACACAAAGTTGTTTTACTTTTAATATGATGACTGTGCAGATACTGTATGTTAAATGTACAGGTGTTCTTTTATTTAGATTTGATTGGTATTTTAATTGGGGAGAGGTATCTCATCTTCATTTGAAAACAGCAATTTTTGAAACTGGTTAATTTATTTCTTCAGTGACTGAATAATTGTAATTATTTTACTCTATTAAGCTCATTAATTTACCCTCTTTTCACAGACTGGTACTGAACTTTTAACTTCTGTCTTACTGTATTTGTTTTCAGATTTATTAGTGTTGTTGTTATCTAGATGTAAAAAAACAAACATTCCCAGCTGTAACTGATCAGCCGTACACGACGTTTTTGCAGATGACATCGCTGTATGTTAACGGTGATGCAGCTCCATGCATGAGAGAAACAAATGCTCTCGGTGTGATGTTACAAACATTGTAGAAGTATCATGCTTTCCTCACTGATTGTACAGAAACCTTTAACACCATGACTCCTCAATGTTTCATAGAAATTTGGTCATAAAGTCGTTACGGCCTTTTCATCTGAGAAAATGACTTTTCTATCACCTGCTTAAAGAAAACTTTATTTATTTATGCGCACCGTGACTCAAGGCCAAGCTTATCATGACCGCACACATGGCTTATCTACACCCCTCCCTCTGGATCCTGTGGTAAACACGAGGTCTGGCCTGCGATGGTAGATGAGCTGTAAGTTAGAATACCTTGAATACTTTGCTCTAGGACGGTTGTGAATAACTGCTTCTGTGTTTCATCCTGTAGGAAGAAGCCTTGTCTGATCTTGACCAATGTCCTAGAGACAGAACCCGGCAAGGAGTACATGGAAAGGATAAAACAGAGTCGTGCTTTTGGGAGTCGAGGGTCAAGTACACGGAGGGAGAGTGGTCGCTCCAGAGAGGAGCCCCTGATCTGCAGAGACATGAGGTTTAGACAGAGGGAGGCCAGGAATGATGAGAACAAGAGTGTAACCCCTAAATGCAACCAGAAGACCACCTCTTCGCCCGCTCATAGGTAGGAAGTCCCTGTTAAGGCAATACTATGGCTCTGTCCAAAGGTAACCAATTCCACCTGCCAGCACCTCTAAAGCTTAACTATCACGTTATACCGTGTATGTTTTAATCTGTATAATTAGCAAAATGTAAAAATAACAAGTCGCTTTTAATTGATGACTTCCTGAAGATTTATTTTCACCTTAAAAGTTCACTTCGCTATTTTTCAACCTGGACCATGTTTTGTTTCTGTGTCTAACTGATGAACAAGGAGCCAGACTGCAGCTGCTCACCGGCACCTTTTAATGGAGTTTGGCTTTGCCGGCTGAATCTTTGGCTCTCAGTATTTTCCAGGAACAAAACGTGGTGATTTTATTTGGAATAATACCTCACGGAAAGCTTTCACAGCTTAGATTCTAGTTCAAGTATGTGTTTCTGCTTTTGTGTTTTTGTCCAATTTCTTTGGTTCGGTACATTTTTTTCATATATGAAGTTCCAATGACTAAGTTTGACTCTACTTTGTGTGGCTTTTGCTAAACAATGAGAGTTTTGCCTCTGGCATAATCAGAGCAATGTGTTAATTCTTTCACTCTTTTCATTCTTTCTTTAGGTCAAGACTCAGGGGAAGATCACAAAACGTTGATGGTGACGTGGAAATGGAAGATATTGAAGAGGTGATAATAGGAAAGGACAACGGAGACGACTTCGCTGAAGTTGTAGGTGTGTAAACATGACGGCATTCAGACACACAGTTGCTGATGTGCTGGTGCTCTTCATGACCGTTGTATTTCACCGGGTTATTCTCGTAAAACTTTGACTTTATCAGTTCTGCTACCACTCTGAAAGCGTCACGCTTACATTTAGCTACTTTTCCCTGTCTTTGTCTCGTACGTCCTTTTAAGGGTTCTTCCAATGAGAACGATGTATTGATACTGCTGGCGCTTTATCCAGAGTAAATAAACACTTTATTTCAGATGCTACACTTTATGTAGCATCTGAAATAAAATGCTACGGGATTTGCTCAGCTATTCCCTTACACGCATGTCTTCTCTATTTTCTCATCATAGTGGTAGCAGTAGTAGCAGTCAGGCTGTCAGTACTGCCTGTGTTTATTTTAGCCTGATAGCTTGATCAGTATTTATCCATCTCATACAGATTGTGGGTTGTCAGTTAGCTGGGGGCCTGCCGTGGATACAGGAAGTTGTGATGAGTTCCCCCCAGCTAGCATCAAGGACCGGTTGACTGATCCAGAAAAAGAAGTGCAGCACAGTCTGGTGAGTACCGAGCAGGGCCGCAGAGAAAGCCTCAGAACTCTCTGTCCAGCCAAGGAGTAGACTTCATCCAAACATTACCACTAAAGGCTTAAATGAATGACCAGACGTGCACCTCATTATGTTAAAGTGATTGCATTTTTTCACATCATGTCTTGAATACGCCCTTGAGTCAATTTTAGGACTCGGTAACATTTCCATGGCACTCCGACACGGCACAACTCTGAAATGAATACCATCACATGAATGTAAAAGCCACGGAAGTTTTCACCTAAGTGGATGAAATTATGAATATCCAGCAAAAAGCTTTACATGCCACTTGTGAACAAATAGTACATTAAAACTTCCCTGACCAGATACGTTTTAAAACCCATCAGCCTGTTGTTCTTTCTCGATATCAGTAGTTCATATTTGCACACCTGCACGAGTTATCTGATGAACTAACGCCTAAATTGAGGTGCTGCGTTCTGTGCTGTTTCCACAGAAGAGGAAAAAAACGGATGAAGAGTCCCAGTGCAATGGGACAGGCAGCCCCAAACGCCACCGCGAGAGTGTGCTTCGCCTCAGCGGAGAAGACAGAAGAGATGGAGGACGGGCACCGACACGCGCTTGTCTGGAGGAAAGTGGGGAAGACGGAGATTTGGAGAGCCTGGACCGTACCATTGTACAGTTCACGGTGGGAGCGGATGATCAAACAGAAGTTCTGCTCCCAACCATCTGTCCTAATTCGGAGGCCAGAGACTCTATTAGTACCCCCAGAAGAAGTCTATCGTCTCGCCAGGACAACACAACTATAACCTCTGAACCCAGTGAGTACAACACAGGATGAGATCTTCTAGACTTGGAAGCTGCATTCTGTGCAGAAACTCAGTTAACAGAAGAACTGAGCTTCTGCCAGCTGTTTCTGAAACTGGCTCCTGGAAGAACGGGCATAATCAAATAGTTTCTTTTTTTTTTTCCAGTTGTGCTGTCCAGCGATGATGAGGAGAGTGGTGACGCAGCATCCAGCACACTGGTCACTGTAGAAGACGGAGTAATACAGGAAGCTGTGGCCAAACAGCAAGACGCTTCAGATATAGAGCACATGCAGGTTGGCAGAATGTGTATTTAGTTTGAGCCGTACCTCTTCAGAAAAACATTTTATAAAAGATCAAGCATGTTTTCGACTGATGACGTAGTCCTGTATCTGACTCCATAAGACCAGAGCGGAAATAGATCTCTAAACATGATCGGGGCATCTCTACATTTCTTGATTAAAATGCCTCCATGTTTGCAGGACAGTGCCCCTTTATTTTTTTTAAATGTAGCCATATATGAAAAAGCATGTTGTAGATCACAGAAGCTAACAGGAGCCTCATACGAGCTTCCTTTCACAACGAGGTCACTGACTTTCCTGCTGTAACAAACTCATCTTTTCTTTTTTCTAGATTTATTTAGTTTTGTACGTACTTTATAACCCCCATTCCCTCTCAAGCTAACGAGACTTTATTGAGAGCGATGTTTTTATAACGATACCAAAAAGTTGCAGTAGGCATTGCTGTCAACTACAGCATCAATCCGTGTTCCTGCCACTAGGTGGCGCAAAGGTAAGGGCGTTTTAAAAGCTACACATAGTGGCTTAAAAATATTGGAATTGGAAAAATATTAAATTGAAAAAGTAAAGACTGGTTTCAACTATATTGCTTGTCCTTACAGCTCGATCTCATCGTAGTATTGGGGGTTAGTATTGGGGTTATTGTACTGTAGTTGTGTACTACTGTTTGCACACATTTCTCCAAGCTGAGTGTGTTTGTGTGTTGCAGGTGTTGCGTGTAGTTGTAGATCTTCCTGGTTCATTGGAAGTCTCTTCGATCCCCAGTATAGACTACTCCTTCTCCACGCTGCACTGTGGAGGATACCAAGGGAAAGCCAATGGAGACATCATGGTAAACTGTGTAAACTACATAAACTCAGTATTCGTATCACATTTCAGGACATGAGGCGTAACACCTCTTTTTTTTATGCCTCTTTCACAGATAGCAGACCAACAAATCATAATTCCACTGACAGGTAATGTTGTGAGTAGTTATTTTAAACGTTGGTATCAAGTACACTGAAGTAAAATCACAGTGTTTGTAGAGGAACTGTGGCCTGCTTGAGCTCTTTGGTGTGGGTTGTTTAAACTGCTTGTTTTGGTTATGCTGTCTGCACACCATCCACTCACAGCTTAGTGGTCTATTTCAGATGCTAAATTGTGTGTGTGTGTGTGTGTGTGTGTGTGTGTGTGTGTGTGTGTGTGTGTGTGTGTGTGTGTTCCTGGATTAGACCCTCAAGTGCACTTTCACCTTCTGAGCCTGTGAAATCTGCCCTTCAGGGGAACTAAGGTGGTCATTTCTTGAGGTGTGATGTTGGCTTTGACATATGTTTGTTAAACACAAATGGGTGACATGATAGTTTTGTGAAATATTTTGTGCAAACCGAGCAACATATTTTCTAGCAAGCACAAGTTTTGTTTCTGGAAAATGAGTCTGGATTAGATAACGTTTTGAATGAATAACGGCTGATTACTTAATCCTTGAGCCAAGCCTTCGGCATGATTCACAAGAACCTACAGGATGTAGGAACAATGTGGCGATTTGAGCGTAGAAACATTATGTTCTATGATTTGAAAATGTTCGTAGGATTCACACTAACTGATTAGGAAAGCTCTAAAGCTGTATTTAGGCATCTGCAGTGGCATGATTGGAACATCTACGGAGAGAAGCTTAAATCTGGATGGAAGATGGGATTGACTTTCTTTGGTTTTGAAGTTGATGGAAAGTATTTACTGCTACAGGAGGGGAACATGTGAGGTGTGTCCTTGTTTTCTTTTTGTGTGCGAGGCATTCTTCTTAGTGTGGTAAAGACAAAGACTTGGCGAGCTGCTGAACTAAGCTCACCACCTCGTTCTCTCCAGACGCCGATGAACAGGTGGAGGTGGTATTAACCCTGGATCGTAAAGACCTGAGGAGGTACAGCGTGTGGGAACAGCAGGAGCTGGAGGAGCGGGAGCTTCACTTTAAGGATGGCGAGGAGCCTCTCCCCGTTGCCGTCCTTCTGTTTTGTGTGTCACAAAGCGCTGCAGCTGCTACACAGCGAGAGCTCCTGAAGCTGTGTGTCAAAGAAGACGGAAACACGAGCTCTGGTGAGCACACTTCAACCTCACATTTAATGCTTATTGGAGACGCGTAGTATTTAGGCTGCAATCGCTCTGTATTGTTTGATGCGTCACATTATTCCTAATGTAAATCTGCACGGTGCATGATAACAGTGTTATGGTTTCTTTTTATTTGAACAGACAAGGTGAGCCCCTTCATTCTGCTGACGCTGAGCTATGCTGTGGTGGGAATGGAGGGGGCGTTATTACGCTCCCTCCTGGACATCGACTGTCTCAACAGTCTGACACAGGAACAGTTCATCCACAATGCAGACCAGATCAGTTGTTTGGAGGACTTCCGCTCTCCTGTTCTTTCTCTGGATGATAGCGTTGAGCTGATCAGAAGAACTGGACTGGACTCTCATCTGTTGTCTCTGCTCGGCCTGGAGACCACTGACTCTAGTCTAGACCCGGACCAGGATGGTCCACCTAGCGATACGGACGATGACGCCACACCTCACATCCTGCTGGAGGTTGAGTCGCAGAAGGAGAACGTGCTGGAGCTGGAGACGGAGACGGAACAAGAGACAGAGACGGAACAAGACACGGGGACGCAACTCAAACCTGAGGAGGATCAGAAAGAGCAGGAGCTCCATCGGCCTGAGGTAAGTTTGTTCCCAAGTTATTTTTTGGCCTTTAAAACAAAGCAGTATCTACCTCATGCATATGTTTACTGGTTGTGCCCGGTTAAATCTGTGGTATTTTGCTATATTTGACTGTTTATCATCTCCTGTTAATCATATTGCAACGCCTCAGACTTATTTTCTGTCCCCCTGACCCCCAGGCTGGGAACCACTTGTTCACATGGTCAGTGTTAAATTATTACATGTTGCTCCTGTGATGTGAATTTCCTCCCTCAGGAAAAGAAGAAGGAGCCCACTCCTGTGTACACGCTGTGCCATCGTAGAACCAAAGGATCCTACCTCGTGTCCATGTGTAAACCACACTCAAGCATGACTAAATTTAAACATCAGGGCCTGGCTCGCAGGCAAGTAAAGCTACCTTATCATATGTGCAGCTTCTCATGCAGCCGGACCCAGCAGGTGTTGGCACGTGGCTTCTTGCAGCCAATGCAGTTCTGAATGCATGACCTTCACATGTATGGTTTCTCTGTGCATGGACAGCTGTTGCCACATCATTCATCTACTGCCAGTGTAAAGTGGCTCTTCTTTCTTCCACCTCTGCTTAGGTTGATCCAGTTCCCCCCCCCTCCACTGAAAGGAGGAATAACCGTCACAATGGAGGACCTGCGCTGCCTTGACACCGGGCACTTCCTAAATGACGTTATCATTGACTTTTACCTCAAGTAAGTGATGCATTGAAATATTTTCGTTCCTCACAAAGATTGTTGGGAAGAGATCCGCCTTTTGAACCGATCGCGTCGATGTGTTTTTGAACCAGATACGTCCTGCAGAATGCCTCTGCCGCTGTGGCCGAGCGCTCCCACATCTTCAGCAGCTTCTTTTACAAGCAGCTGACACGGAGGGACAACGCCAGTGAAGGCGTCACCACCGACTCGTGCGTAGTGCTGCCAAAAATTCATCTTTTCTGTTGCGAATTTTCGTATGTGCTGCTTCCAGGAAATAGCCACAGCCTTGCACTCTTTGAGGCTGACAATGACAAAATCTTTCTTCTTTTTGTGTTTTATTACCAAATGACGGCAAGGCATCAGAATTGAAACTCCATCACAAACCTGAACAGTGTTTATCATTTTTCTGCATATTTGTACATATTTTTATTATTTCCATTTCTTGTACTGGCATGTTACAAGATACTTATGTCTTCATGATTTTTGTAGATGTACCGTAAAAAGAATAAACAAGTAGAATCAACATAAGCATAAGATGCTCTATGATTTCATAAATTATCAGCTTAGTGAAGCCTTCAACTTAATATCTTGGAAGTTAAATGGAGAATGAATTGCTTCCACTCGGCACTGGCCCTGCGCTCTTGGTGGTCAAGAATTCCCAAAACTCAAAAGTTTGATATATTGAGAGTTACAGACTCGGTATACGGAGCCAGTACGGGAGGAACATGAGACGTGGACCTCCCATCACTACTCTCTAGTGTCTATAGTTGATTATATGTATGTGAATTACTGTTTATTTTTGTGTGCCTCCAGCTGTCAGAGGCAGAGGCGACACCAACGGGTGAAGACATGGACACGCCATGTTGACATCTTCAAAAAGGACTTCCTGTTTGTCCCTGTCAATCAGGAGTGAGTTAAAAACATCATGAAGAGGTGTATTGTACGGAGATTTTTCCTTATATCACACTATGCGTCACATTGCTCTGTTGTGTTGTCTGTTTAGGGCTCATTGGTATTTAGTTGTCATCTGCTTTCCTGGACTGGACGAGCCAAAGTCTGAGACCTGGAGTGGTCCAAACGGCGAGTTGCCGGAACAAGAGGCTCAGGGGTCTGAAAGCCCAAAGGACGAGGCAGAGACACCGCCCACATTAAACCACAGTGACGGCTTGGACACAGAGACGGGTATGTTTGACCAAATGACACTGAACGAGATTAAATTACGGCCGGTCTTTGCAATTATCCTGTGTTTTTGTTGTACATTTCAGGAACTTTATTTATGTTGTGAATGCAAAGATCATGGTTGGTTTCCTGTGTTTTAGAAAAGCCTCAAGAAGATTCCACTAAAGACCCTTCGCCTGGTCCAGTGGTAAGATATATTCTGTTCTCTACTCACGAGGAATAACACTCGATTTTCTTTAATCTCATTGACAAATGTTCAACAATCTTTAATTGTTCCTCCAAGTCTACTCGGTGTCATTTTGTCTTTGTTTGTAGAACTGCACAGAAAAGACCTTCCAGAAGAAAACTGTTAGCAAGAGGTGAGTGTGCGGTTACACAGAGTCACTTTATTCTGCTGCCTGATGCATGACAATAAGAACTGGTTTGTCTTTAAATGTAAAGCACTTTGGTTGAAAAGGATTGTGATGGTTACTTTCAGATATATTTAGAGTCTGAACTGTGTCTCGGAGGTTTGTCTTTTCATATATCCATACTACAACAGTTAATAAATGGTCTTGGTGGTCTGCTTTCATTCGCATACACACTGCCCCGTAAACATCGAATGACAGACGTGCCTCTCTCTTTTCTGTAGGCCGTGTATTCTTATCATGGATTCCCTCAAACTTTCTCTCCACGAGCGAGTCTTCAAACTCTTACGGGAGTAAGTATGAGACTTCTAATCCGTCCGTCTGTTGCAGCGCGTGTGTGTCTGTGTGTGGGTGTCTGTGTGTCTGTGTGTGTGTGTGTGTGTGTGTGTGTGTGTGTTTGTGTTTATGAATGGATGGAAGATAATGTGCGTTTGTCCCTCAGGTACTTACAGTCGGAATGGGAGGTCCGTCGTGGTTCATCGACGGACTTTAGCGCTGATCAGATGCAAAGCTCGCACTGCAAAGTTCCCCTTCAAGACAACAGCAGCGACTGCGGCCTCTACCTGCTGCAATACGTCGAGAGTTTTCTGAAGGTAAAGAAGTTGACGGCATCAGTTTATCTAGGGCTCACGTAGTCTGACACATTTAAATGTACTATTAGATCAGCATCACCTTCAAATCTTCATGTTTTGATTGAAGCTCAGTGGGACATTAAAATGTTTTAAAGCATGTACACGGTAATAGAAAATTAATTCTGCTTCTGCTCTCAGGACCCTGTGGTGCACTTTGACCTCCCTCTACACCTACAACAATGGTTTCCACGGCAGCAGGTGCGGAGGAAAAGAGACGAAATCCGAGATCTGGTACTTAACCTCAGCCGAGATCAGAACCTTGGTACGAAGGGATAAGAGGGATGAAGCAGCTCTTCTGTTCAGTGCGTCCCATTCCTGTAGCCATTATAAAGCACCGCTCATAGTGAGCGGCGGACTTCTCAGCGTGAACTAAAAGGATTTCCTTTGCATTAGATGCTGTTATTGTTATTCCACATTAACTCGAACCACACCTCTGTAAACCTCTGACTGTCTCTGGATCCTGTGAGTGAACATGAAGATAAACAAGTAGCTGTTTTTATAATAGATTACGTCTAGACATGAAATTGTTTCTGCACGCCATGACGTTTTACGGATTGTTTTTATGCTGCAAGATTTTTTTTTTTATAAAAACAATGATTTGTATTTATTTTGTATGTAGAAAGAGTGTAAACGTGTAACAACGGTAACGCCTAGATTTGACATGTTCTGCTTTCTTTGCTGACATTTGTTGGGCATTTGAAGTCATGTGACTTCATGTTTATCTGTCATGGGTTTTCTAATCAAACCTGTTCTGGTCCTGCATTCTTTGCATAGGTACACCTTCACTGGATGAACACAGGCGCAGTATAACATACATTTGCCATGTGGCCGACCCAAATTTCATTATAAGATAACTTGAAGCCTTTGGGAACTGGAATCCCGTCATTAAATTTCAGTTCTATCTTTTGTCTCTTTTGAAAATATGCTAAAAAAGGGAAAAACGTTCAGTCACTCAGTGCCTCCTTCAGTTCTCCTGAGAGCCTCCCAGTGCTAGATCAGAAACATGACAGTCTCTACAGGTGGAAACCAACTATCATCAAATTGATCGACCACAAACTCTAAAATCATGTTGGGACACAGCGATGGTTCCTAATAGATCGACTTTACCTGCATAAATTGGCTGAATTAGACCAAATTGGGATGTAAGACTATCAATACAGGCTACTGTTGTTAGTTTGCATATAACATTCTATATCATAGTTCTGATAGTCAGACATTTTAATTATTTTATTGAAATACAACTTTCATAAAGTTCAGGGGTGTACATACATTATTAGCATGTGTGATCTTATGCTATCAAACGTAAAAGCTACTACATTCAGACCTAAGAGACATTGCTGTCCGTCACTACTGTTGCCTAAATTCTTCTCAGCAGAGAGTCTTGTGTAGTGTTTTCCCTTTTTGTTCAGATGTTTGTATCTCTTTTAACCCTTAATGTTTTCTAGGCGTTGTGTTCGATGAATGTACAGAAGCTGATTCCAAAACTTCTTTGGTTTCAATGATATTATTAAAACTTGTAGACCAAATAACACTTGTTTGTTTTCATCTGTAACCACAAACCTAGATAGTTAAACAAGCCCAGCATGTTTTTTTATGATTAAATACCAACCGGACAATATTTGAGTAGGGTCCTGACTCTTGAATGCTTGTCCCACTAGATGAGGATTACAGTTGGGTAACTAAAACGGAAAGGTAATGTCTGTGTTGTAAATAAACCGGTTTATTCCTTTTTATGTATTAAAAGTTTCCTTTGGCTCCTGATCAATCTATCTATCTGCAAACCCTTTTTTAATAATTCTCTTTTTGACCAGAGGAGCCAACTTTGTTCTTCTCGGGTCAAAGGCTTCCTTTTGAAATGCCTGTCCATTACAATGCCAATATAATCTGTCCAGAGGGTTACATGGTCGGCTTAGGTGCATTTACTGTCTCAGCGTGTCGGATCCCCTCTCAGTCTGACTCTGAGTAATCCCCCCCCTGTTCTGCATGGCAGTGGGTTGCAGCCATCAGGCGTATGCAACATCTACACTCATTGCCAATTCATTAAGTACACTTAGCTAAAGGTAATAATACAACAGTCCTGAAATATATCCTAGTATGCATTCGTTTGAGCCAGGCGTGCCTAATAAACTGGCAACTGTGTGTATATTAACACATGTTTATGGATTGCATGGCCTGTGCAGTGTTGTGTACTCCGCAGTATTAGAAGCAGCATCACTGAAATCCCTCATTCAGGAATGCACTGATACCGTCTGAGTACAGCCACTGCCCTCTAGGCCTACTTGGCTCCTATTCCATGGCTAGTCATCCATGATCTCTGGGTACAGGATCAACATTTTTCAGCCAACGGCTATGGCCAGGTCTTTGTTTGACACCTGCACCACGAAGAGGGCCATTGGGCCAATCAAAGAGAGAAACACAATTTATTGATGGATTCTTACCCTAACACAGAGACGTGTATATATATATATATATATATATATATTTTAACTGTCAAACTAATTGTAATCCTTTCTATACAACTATTTGATGGATTGGCACAAAGGTTTGAACAGACATTCATGGTTCTCAGATGGTGTACCCAAGACTTTGGTGATTCCTTGATCTTTTCCTTGAGTGCCTCCATGAGATTGATATTTGTGGCTTTGAAAGAAGTATCTTTAACTGTTTGTACTGACAGTCATGGTACCCAGAGGCTGTATCGTAATGATTTTGGTGCCCATTTAGTTCTCCCCTAGGATAACGTCAACATTTTAATTTGTCCTGTACTTTTGGTTGGTTTATGACCAAAGATCACTGCAGAACCTTCACACCCTGGACACAACCTGTTCCAACTCCTCCCCTCTGGTAGGCACTACAGGGCTCTGTACGCCAAAACCACCAGACCCAGGAACAGCTTCTTTCTACTGGCCGTCACTCTCATGAACAATAAATAAGTAATATTGCACTACTACCTCTGTTTGCACTATTGTATTATATATATATATATATATATATATATATATATATATATATATATATACAGTATACACACTTTTTGTTTGGGATATATTTATACTTATATTGTATATAGCTGTTAAATGTCCTTGTTTTTCTTATATTTCTCTTGTTTATTGTATATATTTCATGTGTGTGTATGTATGATGAGAGTAATACGGATAGTGTAACCGGAGTCAAATTCCATGTATGTGCACGCATACATGGCCAATAAAGCTGATTCTGATTCTGACCAAAAGATCTGCAAAACGAATGACATTTCACGACCGGACTTGTACTGTGTATTTACAAGTGGTAATTATCAAACGTGAGCCGTCTAACACACTTAATTAAAACGCTGAACATGGTAAACGTTACAGCTCCAGTATGTTAGCATTGTCATTGTGAGCTTGTTACTGCCATTGTCAGCTTACTTGCTTTTTTGTTTTTCCGTATACGTAATACGGCTACTTAAAGATAAGAAGAGGAGGAAGAGTTGAGAGTTAAAGGTTGACTCCAGACTAAGCCAATGACTATGTTGTCAAAATACACATACTGAGAGGATTTCAGTTACCGCTTCACAGGTCAACACCTCAACCTTACACTTAATCACTGTATTTTTGTGTGGTAGGGTGTAGTAGTCGGATCAGTGCTTTCTCCTGTCATATGATCTTCTTGCCTTTTGATTGATGTACCCCCCCCCAACATTTAGAGCAGACACGTGGCCGGCCATTATGATTTCCAAAGGCTGGGTGTGTTTAACGCAATTTGCCTAATTGGTTAGCAGGGTGCTTTAACAGTTAAGGGGACTGTCCTTCAACTGGGGTAACTGGATTAAGTCTCTTTTATTGGCCGTTTGCTAAATTCTTGGCAAAAACCTTAAATCCTAACTAATCTCCTGACAAGAATCAGTAAACTATGATAATATCTGTATGTATTGATGTATCCTCCTGCTTGCTGTTGATTCTGTGGCCTTTGTTACCTCCTATTCTCTGTCCATGTTTCTTCCACACTATGTGCCCCCCCCCTCCCCCCTCCCTTCAGTGTTGCTCCAGTAACTTCTTGGCGAGCTCTTCTAGGGCTTACAGTAAACAGGATTAGAGAGCATTAAAAAAATCCCCCTCTTTCAAAGAGCCATCTGCCTTTCTACCTGAGCCAGGAGCTGTCCTCTCTGCACCGTGGGACACGCCTCTCTTCAGCGGCAGAGGGAAACCAGCATGTCATCGTGTCGTCAAATGACTTCTCTACGTGCTTCCGTTATTTTTCTGCGTCTGGAGACTTTTTAACTATGCAAACTTGTAAGAAGCTGTTGAGAAGAAGTACACATCTACTTAATCCTTTTCCAAGTCCAAGGAATTAAACACAGTCACGGATTTAACATGAGCATCATATCTGGGAGATGTGTCTTCTACTGTGTCTTTTTTTATATTGTGATCATATTTTTGGACATAAGGACAGGTACGTATTGTCGCTAACTTTTAAAGTTCTTGCTCACATCTTACTCAAAGAAGAGTTAACCATTAAGTCTTGAATGTGTGTTTTTTGTTGTTGTTGTTGTCCCCCAGATGCAACGCTGGAAGGTTCCTCTATGGGTTACCTGAGTCAGGAGCCTGTGGAGTTGCCACGGCGCGTTAATGTTTCTGATGTCAAGGGATCTGATGAAGGCCATGCAGTTATCTCTCGACGGAAACGGAACATCCTTTTCCCGAGTGGAGTCAAACTCTGTGGACAAGAGACCGCCCAGCAAGTCGTTTCAAGCCACCTGAGCTACTTTCATCTCAGAGGTAAGACTGAACATTAAAAAGTAGATCACTGTACACTGTGGAAGGATACCTCACTATTGTGAGGTGAGGGAACACAAACAGCAAAAACAGAATTTCATTTTGTGAGATTTTGTCCCCACTGTCACATTCCTCAGGAATTAATGTCCACCGGGCACATTACATTACAGCAAGTGATCCACCTGGGTCAAGCAGAAGAATGTTGGTGGACATCTGCCTTGACACCATTACATTACATTACATTACAGTCATTTAGCAGATGCTTTATCCAAAGCGACTTACAATAAGTGTATTCAACATAGGTATTCAAGATAACTACTAGTGACCAGAAGTCATAAGTACATTTCCTTTTTTAAACAAGCATAAACCAGAGCAAAAGTACAGTGTAGAAACAAAGCAATACGAATACAATAAGTGCTAAGTGGAAGGCTCAGGGTAGTACTTCTTGAAGAGGTGAGTTGCAATTAGGCCTCAAGAGATTTACATTCAAATAGACTGTGGTCTACTTACAGGATCAGTTCACCTTAATTACAAATACAACACATTTTCTGACCCTAGTCGTATCTAGTCCTGCAGATAGTTCAGTTTTGGTTTTTTTGTTACGTGGCCAGGATTTGAGATATGTACCTTCAGTAACTTCACCATATGCTGGGACGCATACTGCGAGGTATAATCTATTGACATAGTTTGTATATCTTAAGGGTATTATTGTTAATTTCAAGGAAAATTATATCTATTTTTTGGTTGCAAAATCAACTCCCTACGGTGGAACAATGGACTAAGAGACTGAGGCAGGTGTACTGATTGCACAATTACGTGTTAAACAAAACCAATATTTTTGTGCAGAGATGGACACTTAATTCTGTATCTGATTGAATAGTAGAATATTATGATTTAAAAAAAATGTATATATATTTTAGTTTGATAATATATCATATTAGTTAATAAAAGAAGAGTTTTCCACCCACGTAGCTTTATAAAGTATCAAAATCAATAGGGCAGAACCAGAGATATGGTATTCTTCTCCCTTAATAAAACCTGGCGCCTACATTACCCACAATTCAACTCAACCGCAGACAGTCAGGTCGGAGATTCTGGTGCGTTCTGCTAATAGCGGCTAATCAAGCAGGTTTGAGGAGTGGGCTACAGACAACATTATCTTCGGTGGAGCAGCAGAAACCTTAGAAGTGGTTATCTCAAATGTCAGACACAACAACCAAAACAGTCTGCATGGTTATATACCAGTGGTGGAATGTAATCAAGTACATTAACTACAAACTTGAGGTACTTGTAATTGAGTAGTACCATTATATACTTGTCTTTATTTCCACTGCACTACATTTCAGAGAGAAATAATGTACTTTATGTAGTGGTTTTGCTACTTTTACTTAAATAATGAATATTTTTCCACCACGATGAGATACTTTTAAGGGTGAGCGTTTGTGTGATTTGTGAATTGACAACTCAAGAAACATATACAGCGCACCACAGGTGGACAGCAGTTATGAATCAAATATATTCAAGAGAGAAGAAACATTTTGTTCTGTTATTGCTTAAGAGACGGTCTGTAACGTATGTGCGTGTGAGTGGACAGAGATCAAGGTGTGAACTCCAGGGCAGCTAGACGTAGACAAAGACAGGCTTGTTGGTGCCAAGAGACAGTCTGTGAACGGGGAACAGTTGAGGTCTGTTATGTAAGGTAGATTTGGATTTAGCGATGACCACTCTCAGTCCTCACAGACGGTGTTGATTAGGGGAGAAGATTGGAGCATTTGTTTGTGCATCGACTTTGGATCAGTGCACAGTAGGCTGACTCATGAAAGGGAGTTATGTCATGAAGCTAACATGGCAGTGGACCTAGATTTGTGCCTCAGACCTCACTGCTAATAATATAAAGGTCTATCATGGTTGTATAAAGATGCTTGTATTCACCTGCTAATGAGCCAACAGAGTGGTCTTTGTTGCCTAGAAGAGACCTTCACACTTTGAAGTGTCGCCCCAACCAAAATAACGTGGACAACACTACTATGGAACAAGTTCTGCAAGCTTGTGTTTTAAAGTGGATGGTGTTTTTTTTTTTCTCTGGTCTGAAAAGTGTGCCAGGAGACCATATGGGAGGCTTTCAAGATCTTTTGGGACCGCCTCCCAGAGCAAGACGAGTACCAAAGCTGGATGAGCCAATGCCAGGAGGGCACAGTTACGACACAAGATGTGGGCAGCTACTTTAGCCAATCAGAGGAGCATCATGCTCTGGTTCAAAAGGTTAGTGGCTGACTAATGCTTTAATAAACCAGTATCTGTGCGCAGTACAGAACATAATAGACAACTCTGATTTTTCTTTCTCCTTCTAGAGAATGTTACTGCCAGGTTTGAAAAGGTAAAATAAACATCTGTTCTCTCAGTGCTAACCCAACATTTCAATCATACATTTATTGATCTCATCATTAGGTCTGTCTTGTAAATGTATCTGTTCTTCCAACCATCTGTAGTGAAACAACCAGGTCCTGGCAACATATGTGCAGGTAAGGCTCTTCAACCTTACCTGTTCATACTCCTGCACGTTAGTTAGCACACATGGCACAGTCACATGGCTTTGAATTGTTTCCTGTTTGATTTGTTGCTCTTTTATATACTGTATGTGCTTTTCCTTTTTCTGAGTGTAAAAGATAGCACTGGCATTATTTAGTCTTTTTTAAATTATTTTCAATAAATCACACAAAAAAACCACAAAGCCAACTGGAGAGGTGCACACAGTGGAATGCAACAACCACTGCTGCATTACGTGATTGAATTAATACAACCAATGATTGGCTCGACACCAATGATTGGCTCGACACCACTAAGGCATCGTAAAACACACTTCACATTCAAACTAAAAAACAAGCTGCGGTGAATGCAGGCAATCGGCTCAATGTTGTTGTATAATACACATACAAGCTTGCAAAAAACAAAATTAAACTCACCAAGCTGTCAGAATGCGAGATTAGCTGTGGACAGCCACATAGGAGCACACACACACATAGACGCATGCAACCGATTGCATAATTCCCCTTGCGGAGATGACAATAAATTCATTCTACTAACAAGTTTTGGTCTGTGCAGCCACCGTCTGATACATCTAATGCCCTCATGTTATTGTCTTCCATCCATGCATGCTTGCCGTTTCCCCCTGTTTCCAGTCTTTATGCTAAGCTAAGCTAACCGGTTGCTGGCATCTTGAGATAGCGTACAAATGTGAGACTGGTACCACTAACTATTCCTATTACTAACTATTCCTTAAGTCTTAAAATAGTTTTATGCCAATTCGTTTTTCATGACTTGGGGGCAGTTATATCAGGCTTTGTCCGAGACTACAGCACTTAATAACAGAGTCAATTAATGATTTTAGTTTTGTTTAGATTGATTTGTTGAATTAAAAAAAAAGCAGCTTTATTCTTTAAATCCTACGTGTACCTCTACCCACAGTGTGCGTGTGTGTGCTTGTTATTATTAAGTAATATGATATAAGCACTGTTGTAACAATATTCTTCTGTTTCGCAGCACTCCGACACAACGAGCACCGGAAGCTGTTGAAGCTGTTGAAGCTGTTGAAGCTCCTGAGCTAGGTCAGTGTCCCTTTTCGCTGTAGGACATCATGTGACTTTGATCACATGGTGTCTCTACTGTCCAATAAGCATATCTGTACCTCTGCAGAAACATTGCTGTTTCAGTGTCACACCATTATCTTGTGTGTGTTTCCAAGTACTTGTTCCTACAATATTCCAGCTTTCTATGCAGTAAGTTAGTGAATCTTTCTGTGTGTTTGCTGAGTGAGCTTGGCTGTAGGCCACATCTGGTCAGGTCAGGGCCGTCTAATCCATACAGTCATCCGTAAATCACACGTGCCAAAGCTCACATCCACCTGAATTAAACCGTTTCTTTTTTTAATGCACATGAACTCAACCACCCAGAAGACAAAGATAAAGGGGAGAAGGTGCAGGAAGCAGCCGCCATTGTCCCAGAGGCGGTGGAGAGTCCAGTGAGTGCGCGCACAGATAGTTTACGGACTCCCAATGTTTTACTAACGTGCACATATAACTGCTATATTACAGAGTCTCTTTCTCATATGGCACAGATGGACAATGACATTGCCGTGCAGCCTCCCAGCCCCGCTGGGCTGGAGCAGGTGGTGGAGCTAAGCGTCCTCCTGACCGGAGAGACGTACAGTGACGACCTCGGCGATCCAGCCAGCTTCCAGCGCCAAACTCTCAGCAGACAGTTTGCTGAAAAGGTTTGTCTCTGGCTCCATCGCCTTCCGTCCGTCTCTCTTTATGACTCCCCTTAGTGCTACTGTTTCTTGGCTCTGGACTGGGCTCACTATATCTCCTGGTTTGTGGTCTGCAATGGATGCATTGTTTGTTTTAATATCACACACTTTAACAGCAGCCGTAGTTAAACCCAAACTGTTTGGCTGGGAGCTCAAAAGCACTTTCCTGTGTGCTGAAAGTACAGTGTTATGACTTGCCTTGGGAATAGATAAAGATATAAAGATATGCACATGGACATGTATGCACTGGTACTCTGCCTTTGGAAGCAACTTCAGTGGTTTTACAGGTACTTGGAAAATTCCGTAAATTTGTTAAGGTGATTTTCTCTGGCATCGTAAGCATGCACTTGATTTTATGTCCCCTTATCGCTGACCTGTGTTTCTCGGTGAAGATCTGCTATACACATACAATCTTGCATGCCTTCACATACACACTCTGCGAACACACACTCACAAGTGTGAGTGGAGCAGAGGACAAGGTATTATATGAATGTTAAGAAGGGGGAATTGGTGGACAAAGACCCTGGAGACCTGTTTCTGTGTCCTCTTTCTCTGATGGATTCAATAAACTGGGTCAGTGAGTCTGCAGAACAGTACAGGGATTGTTTTTCTTAGTCCATAGAAGCAAGGCCTTGTAGACCAATAAAAAAGTTGACCACAGTGCACTAGTCTGCCTCCAGAGGATAATGATCTGGGCCACTGCACAAACGACTCGAGACCTTTCAGTTGCTTTGAACAAAATTAGCCCTTTTGGAACCATAAATCAAACTTTATTTCGCCAAGCGAGTTCATCGTAACCATATCAAAATAAGAAGCCTCCTCCTGAGGCTTGTTCATCATGCGTGATCGTTTTTGTCCTTGCAGATAGAGGACGCTCTGGAGGGGCTTCCTGGATTTAAGAGTATGTCTGTGCTGGACTTCAGGTCAGTATTCTTGCTGTGGTTTAATCCTGTGGACAAAAGAACTGTCCTCTCAATATGGCCATTATTACCTTGACTTGTAGTATTGACACCACTTCACTTGTTTCATGTAGGCCCCAGAAGGACACTGAAGGGTGAGTCATCAGTACCGGCTGTAGTAGTTTCACCTAGAATATTCTAGTATTTAAGCCCACCGATCCCCCGTCGACCATTCCTTAGCTAAATCTGTGTGAGTGTGTGTGTGTGGCGTCATCTTCCTCTCACGCTGTATTTACCCTGTGAGTGTGGGCACGTGTGTCACTAGTTGCCTGTGTTAATGGTCTTAGTGTGGTCACTCACATGTTAAGTGGGATCAGGATGGGTGGAGACGAGTGAGCAGGTGCTCTTTTATAGAGAAGATTATCAGGGCTTTACAACCTCACCAATCAGCCTCTGGTCGAAGGAGGAAGAGGGAAAGATGTTGTGTGTGTCAGGGGAGCAAAGGTGAAATGGAAGTTGGTGGGTAATGGTGTTCAGATACTTTACTTCAGTAAAAGTAACTATACCACTGCATGAAAATACTCCATTGCAAGTAAAAGACATTTTAAGAAATGCACTTCTTACGTCTGTATGGTAGATATAAGGCTGTAGCTGATGGCGTAGCTTAGCATAACTACTGAAAACAGAGGGACACACACAACCTGGCTCAGTACAAAGTAAAAAATATTCACTTTCCAGCTACTCTAATGCATTTCAATGTTGCAGCTGATTGAGGTGGAACCAACGTTATGCGCTATTGGGCATCTTTTTAACAATTTGTCATTTCACAAGATGAAAAATGTTGAATGTTTTCCCCAGAAATATAGTGGAATAACAGTAGCACAAAATGGAAATACTTACTAGCGCACATATATATTTATATACAATACTTGAGTAAATGTACTTAGTTAGAATCCACTCCTGCGAGAGATTTTAAATGCACACGTACTGCTCTTTTTGTTGTAAACTGCTCTTTGTATATTTAATAATTGTGAAAACATGCTAAGTACACTGAGACATTTATTTATACCTTCTCACAGTGATGCTGTCCTGCTGCTATCAACAGATCCCAGGTCAAAGCAGGAGTACAGCGCTGTCTGACTCTGTGTATATGTGAAGCTAAACGGGGAAAATTGGATCTCCTTCTAAACGGGGCTGACTGCGGGCCAGCACGTGCTCAGTTGTCTGCCAGGAACCCAACAAACTGGGTCAGAGTGGAGGGCTCCCAGTAGTCAAATGAAGGCTGATAGATTGTCTTTTTCCATTCCAAGCAGTAAATCACTCGAGTCATCAGTCATCTGTGATCGCTTTAGGTTTGATGTAAAATCATGCTAATGCCTGAGCGATTTATAATACTTTCTTATTGTAAATGTGTATAGGATGAATGTAAAATGGTGTGCAGTTAAGGTGTACCGATTGGGAAACATCCTCACCAAGTTTGGGTCAGAAAAAAGAAAAATAAACCTTTTTCTCTCACCTGAGAACTATAAAAATATCACAATAATAATAGGAATTGAGAACTTCTGATATTAATATATATCTTGATTTATGTTAAAATATGCTATGCAAAATATCTGCAAAATCACACATAAAAGAATGGAATTGATTTTCACTGTGCCAATGTTTTGCATCAAAGAAAAGTGTTCACACGCATTAAAACAAAAACCTTGACAACCATTTTTAGTTTTAATACAATTTGCTCGGGAAAGTTAATGTGCGCCACAGGATTATGTAAAACAGGAAAATATAATGACACTCAGTGGCCACTTTATTAGGTACATCTGTAAAAGAATTAGAACTACTCTTCCATGAATTCTACCTCACAGGTATTAATTTACCTGTATGTTTATTATTGAGATATGAATGATGTTGAACTGGACTGTATTATATTCAGAGGTGCTTTTAATGTTTTGCCTTTTCCATTTACAATAGTGATTATAAACACATTTCGGTATAATGCAGTCCAACACCACCAACTAAGATCTCAGTCATAAAGAGACAGTGTCAACAAAGACTCAAAATTAAATGTAGAATTTGTGGCATCACGTTGCATTAAATTACACAGGTGAACCTAATTTAGAGGCCAGGGAGTGTACATCAAAATGTGATTCCATTAATTGAACAATAATGTTGAATTACTTCCTAGCCCTGTTCGGTATGTGGCCTGAATGTAACGTCTACATATTTGTGTCTTCAGGCTGGACGGCGTGGTGGTGGTCTACACTGTCACAGTGATGGTGGATGGAGCAGGAGTGAGCACTGACCAACTGGACTACCTGACCTTGCAGTCGAACCGGGTGGAGAACTCGTACCGTGAGGTCATGGCGCTCCCCACGGTGGTCTACACCATCAGCGAGGTCAAAAACCTAAACACTGAAGCCCTGCATGACGACGAGCTGGAGAGCGGTAAGACGATGGCCGGCGATATTCCCTGCTCTGTGACAGAACAAACACATGCCATCATTATAGCTGTTTATTTAATTGTCATGTCAGCGAAGTCGCCGGGGATGCATTGGCAGAAGTAATGCATGCAATGCAGGGCAAACCTCCAAACGTCATATCAAATGGAGACACAGTAGACCCAGCATTGATCTTACAACATACGCTACACCACTTCAGAAAACAGTCCCGGGTTTTAATAGTCTCATCTGTTTCTTATTCGTCTGCTCTTTCCGTCAAAGAGGACAGAGGAAAAAGTTTCAGCTCAAAAGTGGGGCATTTTTAATGAACAAAAAACATAACCATCAGTTTTAGGACCAGTGTATTTATTCTGTGTGACACTTAAATCCTTGTCATTAAGTGGTCTGCGAGAGAGCGCCGAGCAAAAAGGATGTTTGAAATCGGAGCCCTCAGATTACTTTTGGCTTTACTGTAGTCCTTTATTTTGGCTGACACCCAGTGGATCTTACATTCTGGACAGTATATGAAGAAAAGGGATAATAATTGATGCAGCAGAAGACACAAAAGTAAAACACACACACACACACACACACAGACACACACGAATGCTCACATAGGGAGATTTAAACCACTGCATCTGTTAGAGTTAGCCAGTCAGTAAGTAGGTTAGCTTCCTCCTACTTATGGCCAGAGTCCTTCTTTCAGAAATGTGAAGAAATTGAAAGATGTGATAATGTCTATACCATCGCTCCCTCCTGAGTGATTTCTCCCTGCTCATGATTTTGGAGAGAATGCATGCCATTAGTTTACTGTGTTAGCGAGCTCCCCTGGAGGTGCATAACATCTGATGCTTACATCAATTATGAGCTTGGACTTGTGAAATCATTGCTAAACAGTCTCATATTGCCGACATGTGTGGCTAGGGGAACTTAGAGGCACAGCTTGGTTTTGTTTTTCTGCTTTGGTGGCCATTTAGTAATAGCCTTGGCTCCACACCGGCTGATATTCACTACAGATTTGAACACAGATTTGTAGATATATTTACCCCTGAAGGTAATGCTGTCAAAATGAACGCCATCAGTTAAAAAGGGATCTGCAGACTCCTGCAGGTATTATTTTGAGCTATTTGGCACATTTTCATTGTTTTCATATTTGTCTCCCCCCACTGGTTCCACAGTGTCTGAGGTCCCCGAGTCTGTCAACGCTGCAGACGGAGCCACGGTGAGTTAACAAGTTATCTCCACAATCATGACAACAATCTCTCTCCGCGCTCTACAGCTGCTTTGAGCCCCTCAAAGCTGATGAATCACTTTTATTTAAGGAAGCTTGACAGCAGAAGTATGAATGCTGTTGCGGTTAACCTGTAACCGGCTTGTGATGTCATCAAGACCCAACCCAGTGCAGGTAGAGGATGACCTCACAAGCAAAGATGAAGTGAGGCTTTGAGGATTAGCTTGGCTCTTGCTATATTAACCCACTGCTATTCTGGGGCAAAAGCTACAATGCACCACACCACAGCGAGTAAAGAGGAGAGACAGCACATAATTCGAGGGCCAAAGCGCAAAACCTCCTATCTGCAGAATTTTCTGATTGCCGGATTTCACTTTGGATGATGAGAACAAGGAAGGCTGTTCATATTCAGTCTGTCTTAAAATAATCCCGCCCTTTGTTGAAATTTAATTTAGAGCATCATTTTGTAGAACCTCTTCCAACTTGCACCAAGTGCAAAATATCCTATCTGCAAAATGATCCAGGCATTTTTCAGATAGGAGGTTGTTGCTTTTCGGCCATCGATATGAGTTTATTCAGACAAATCACTCCATCCTGAGTCGGTCTTTATTTGTGCTGTCTTGTGGTCGACTGTGCACTTTGATGCTAATCAGAGTTTGGGTTCACTAAATGCGTCTGCTGGTTGACTTTGCAGCTCAGCTCGCTAAGTGATTAATTTGACTTGTTAAATGAGTTGGGAGAGTTTCTCTTCTCCTCATCGGCAATTGATTCACAGGAAAGAGCGCAGAGCTACTGTGCCACCGAAGTACTTTGTTGCCCTGGTTTGGATTTGGAACATTTGAGATTCAGCCGCTGGTTTTTCAAGCTTTCTTTGAGTTGATATTAAACGTAAGGAGCCATGCCACTTTTTAAAGTTCAGCCAATACATGCAGCGAGCTAAACACACTTCAAATACAGGTTGAAGACAGCTGATTGCCTTTAGAGATTTTAGTGAAAGCAATTGTGAAACTGTCAAGACAGTATTGGACAACAAATCCAATGAGAGTGATTAAAAACAAGAGTTAGATAAACAAGAGTAGACCAAATGTATTGCAAGGAAACTAAAGTATAGACAAGGTGTCACATTAATTACATTGTGCTTCTTATCAAGAAATGACAAACTATCTCATAGGAATAAAAGTACTTACAGGAAGCAGATGAGGCAACCTTCTCCCATGTGCGCTTATTTTCTGTAACCAGTGTAGCATGAAAGTGGAATTATCACGCTAGTTAGCTAACTAACCAGCCAAGATGGCGACGGCCAAAAATGCCAAACTCGGGGCTCCAAAACAGCAGTCCACAAACCAACTGGTGAAGTCACATTGACTACGTCCACTTCTTATATACTTATATCACCATGACGTAGTGCTGTAGAAGTGTACAAAGGGCAGCTGTGATCACTGATGGGCCTCAGAGCGCCATCTAGTGGGCCTTAGAAGTACTGCCACATGGCCAATTAGATGCCAAATCTAAATGTGCTCAAGAATTCAAATCAATAATAAACCTAAGAAAAATGTGCTTTTTCGATCATTTTTGATGTGCTTGAATACAACCAAGCACATCATCAAACGTGTATTGCCACTGTTAGTTAGCTAACATTCTCTAATGCAGACACAATATTGATTGGTTTTTGAAACAAATAAAGTAATGTGTCAGACAATAAAAGCTTGGCGAGGAAACCCTGAAATTCTGACATTTTTGATATTCCATTTCCTAATATGTCTCCCTATCATATTCCATCCCACAGTTAATTCGTTTTTTGCTTTACCATTTAATTTAAGATACAAACATAGGAATTATGTCCAACCTACTGAGCAGCAGCAGGAGCTCTGATTGGCCTGACCTGTAAACACAAAACATCTGGCCAATCAAAGCTCCTGTTGAATGGCACACTCCAATGAAACAGTGCCCAAAGCTTCAGATAATAAATGCTGCTTGTGATGCAGATTGATGCTGTTGATGAGCCACCAGCGGTCACGATCCTTAAAGAGGACTCAGAGGTTGTCAACGAAGACTACGTCCTGCCTAACCCCTCTGAAACCAACACAGTGGCCAACACAGAAAATGACGTCATTGTCCTGGAGGAGAGTGCAGTTGTGTCTCCTGCTCCTGGCCTGACCATTAGTGCACCTGAAGCTGGCAGTGAGTGTTAATCCTAGCTCCCTTTTCAATTATTATTTTCTTTTTTGTGACATTCTCGCTGTCTTGCACTTCCTACTGCTTTACGTTTGCACTAAAACTACTTCTTAGGAAATTGACGGATGATTTTCTTTTCCTCTCAATTCAAATTTTTTCGATCTTCTCTGAATGTTTTTTTTCTGGTTTGCCGGATAGATATGTGGGCTATAGCCAGTATCAAAAAAAGGAGTCCAGCAGAGACTGAGTTGAGTTTATTCTTTTCTTTGTTTTTTTTAGGCATTGAGGAGGAAGGTCTGTTGCCCTGGGACACTGTGCGGACTACTGCTGTAGAAACCCTTCCACCAGAGGAGCACCCAGCGGAGCTTCCCTTCCCTGAGCTGCCAGAGGGCGTCACACTGCCTGAACCACCAGTGGCCATTGAGGCCTCTGGTTCGGGCACAGATGACCTGGAGGACCTGCTCCACCCATCCACGCCGACAGAGGAAGGAGCAGTGTCTCTTGAGGAGACTGGCTCAGAAGATGGGCTGATAACAGAAGATATAGCCATAAATACAGATGCCATCTCTGAAGCTGAAACAGAGGATGTTGAGGTTGCGGCAGTGGGAGAAGAGCTTACTGTTGCAGCTTTGGAAGAGGAGCATCTGGATGACATTGTTGTGAATGAGGCAAAGATTCCAGAGGAGCTTGAGATCTCTACAATCGCAGCTGAGACCGCAGAAGAAGGCCTGCCTGTCCTGGTCCCCCCTCTTGAGGCTGTAGATGAAGCGAGTGACGCACCAGAGCCGGAGGCAGCAGAAACAGAAGAGTCCAACCTCACAGATGTAAATCCTGCAGAAGGCGCAGACATCAATATGGTGTCGACCTATCCTGAGGAACCTGTATTTGAAGAGGGTGGCATGGAGGAAGCAACAGAGAGGGAGGAACAGGAGGTGAAGGAAGAGACTGCACCTGAAGCTCCGCCTGCAGAGGAAGAAGGCCCAGCAGCTCCAGAGATGTCCACAGAGGATCTTACAGAGGATGAAATTTTACTGGTTAACAAAGATGAACTCGAGCCACCAGTGACAGATTATCTGAGCCCTGCCGAACCGACTGCCCTGTCTCCAGAGAGGGAGTTGCCTTTTACCCGTATCTCTGAAGTGGACCCTCCCTCTGAAGGGCAACCTGACGTCGTTATCCCTTCACTGGGGGAGGTAAAGCAAAAGAATTGTATTGAAAACAATTCAAATCTAGTATCACTAAATACACAATTGTATTTATTTTTTAAATACAGGACTCATGTCTTGCTTTTAATTTAAATGTCTTTTTTTTGTGTGTCAGGAAATCTAAACTATGGATACTTCAGTTAATGTGCATATTTTTTGATTTTCAAACGAGGACACAACTTTTTTTTCTACACATTTGTTTTTTAAGCTGAAGACCAAGTAAACCAGTATGCCAGTTAGAAGTAAACCAGCATGCCAGTTAGAAGTAGAAAGTCTCATCTCAAAACCTTTTTAACCCACCAGATCCAGACCACTAACCAAGGCCTGGACGACGGCACCGTTGGAGAGCAAGACTACGATGTGATCCATTATGGTTACGATTTGAATAACCACACAGAGGAGGGCAGCACTGGCTTTCCGTTTGGTGTGGCACGCGGCACAGACCAAGTCAGTATCGCCATGCCTGTGAACCCTGGACGAGCACTGATGGTGTTCTTCAGCCTGCGGGTGACCAACATGATCTTTTCAGATGATCTCTTTAACAAGAGCTCCCCAGAATACAAAGCTTTGGAGCAACGCTTCATTGAGCTGGTAAACATCTCACATTTACTGTACCTCTGCTAATCATTATTCCCACTGTTGTGTTGAAACATCAAACTCATTTTTCAATGTTTTCCCAGCTTGTGCCCTACCTGCAGTCCAACCTGAGTAACTTTGAGAACCTGGAGATCCTGAACTTCAGGAATGGGAGCATTGTGGTCAACAGCCGGATGAAATTTGGCAAACCTGTGCCACAAAGTGTCACCACCACAGTCTATCTGATCCTGGAGGACTTCTGTAATACAGCCTACCAGACCATGAACCTGGCCATCGATAAGTACTCACTGGACGTCGAGTCAGGTAGGTTCTCACCGGTACACTGTGGTGTTTTTATGAGTGCTTAGATTAACTTAAGCCAGCAATTGTGATAACATCAGCTGTTTGAAGGTTATGCCAGATGTTTCTCAAAGGAAATGCGGTTATTTGTTTTCTGGCAGCGAGTTAGATTAGAGGATTGATAACCACTCTCATGTTTGTGCGGTAGATATGAAGCCGGAAGTTAAGCTATTAGCTTAGCTTTAAAACTGGAAACGGAGAGGGAAACAGCTAGCCTGGCTCGGTCAAAAGGTAACTACATCCGCTGTCCGCCACCGTCAAGACTCTAGAGGAGTCATTCCCAAAGACTGTGTCTGGACCCACAGGAGATTTTATCAGAATTGCCAAATAAATTTGAAGAATTTCTTCCATATTCTTGTATTTAACATTTATATCTGCAGTCCTCTTTGAGCCACATGTGGGAGCCTGAATGTTCATGTTGTTCTGATAATAGTAGCCTACTTTGACATTGAATCTAATATGAAAGGCTGGCGTACGTTCTGGTTGTTTTAATGATGAGAGGAAAAAAAACAAGAGCCTGTTAACTCCACCTAAATGCATTGATTTGATCTCATTTATAGGAATATGAACCCCCTTTAAACCCACAAATGGTTAATTTAAACAAAAAATATATAACTTGTGAATCACTGAGCTTCAGAAGTGCTGGTAGATGGATTTTGTTACCTTTGGACAGAAACAGGCTAGCTGTTTCCCTCTCTCTCCAGTCTTTATGCTAAGCTATGCTAACAGGCTCCTGGCTCTAGCTTCATATTGAAACATCAGAGTGACCTCAATCTTCTCATCTAACTTTCAGCAAAATGTTGAACTATTCCCTCAGTGGGTGTAATCTCTGAACATTGTTTTGGAAAATAACTTCACTTCAAGCAGGTGTAGAATCACCGTGAAGAGTCACATCAGCTGGCTTGAGATAATCAGGGTTTCCCTGGACAGCAGCCAAGTTGACACGTGCAACTGCACTTTGA